GTGTGTTAGCCTAGGATATGTGAGGCCTTGTTTCCTCACACACCCCAAGAGTATGGATTTTTTAAAGTTAATTTGAGGTTGAATCACGAGTTGCCGTTTCTTGCTCCAATTTATCTATTTTGTGTATTTTCACCTTGTGATATAAAGTGCTGACTTGTATGGACAGGAGGGTGACTGTGTATTGTTGCTCTGTTTCCTAGTACGCGCTGCCTCTCCAGCTGGTCAATCACCAGACCATGACGACGTGGATGGAGATCTTTCGGACCATCATTGACAGGATGGTCCCTCCGGTATGTCAGGGCTCTGAGGAAATCCTGCAAATGTTGACTCACTGTCCAGTCTGCTCCCTGGAAAACAAAACACCACTATCATAGTAACCAGTAAAAAAGTGTAATACATGATTAGTAACGTTTACAGAAAGTCAGATCAGCAAGAATATGAAAGCAGTAACTATGTTTGACTTAAGCTGGTGAAACATTTTAAACCTTGCTACATATCTCTCTAGTCTTTTTTTCTTGGATGTGTATTTAGAATTTTACTTCTCAAAATAGTACATGTAGCTGTACCTTCATATTTTTTCACCAAAAATGAAACATGAATATTATTAATACTTTTCTGGTTATAACTTTTTTTTTTAAAATTAGTTTTTATTTTACATTTAAATTTTTTAGTGAGTGTGTATGTGTGTAGGTGGTATATTGTATGGGAGTACCCATGGTGCATGTATAGAGGTCCGAGGACCCTTGTGGTTCTTTCTTTCCACCATGTGGATCTTGGGGATCAGGCTGAGGTCATTCAGGTTGGTAGTAGGTACCTTTACCTACTGAACCATCTTGCCTGCCCTTGACTGTTTTTTTTTTTTTTCAAGATGGGGTTTCTCTGTGTGGCTTGGGAGCCTATCCTGGCACTCGCTCTGGAGACCAGGCTGGCCTCAAACTCACAGAGATCCTCCTGCCTCTGCCTCCTGAGTGCTGGGATTAAAGGCGTGCGCCACCAACGCCCGGCTCGATTGTTTTTATACTGTCGTTTTAATAGGGTGCTTCATTGCTAGATATTTGGGTAGTTTTCATGTTTAAGCTATTATCTATAAGAATGTGATTTAGTGCCTTGGTGGGGTGAACTCTGTGGCAGAGTGGTTGCTTCTTGAAAAAGTGTTGGGCTTTCAACAGACCTTGCAAAGCCGAAACAATGCTCAAGCATGTACTTTAGTAAACCATGGCCGAGAGTGTTTGCTGCAAGTGCACACTGATTCTAAACTACCTGTTTTATAGGTAAAAGTATCAAAGTGTGGCTGTGGTAGCAACAATAGTGCTACGTTTCACCTGTCAAATTAACCTTTGTATTTTAAAAACTTGAGTTGGCCTGAAATGTCCACTATTCTTTTTGTGTCCATTCCTTTTATTTACTTACATATTTAGGTTGAGCCCAAGGACTCTCACATGCTAATCATAGTGACATATCTTCTCCATTGTTCATACATGAAACAAATTATTTCAAGTTTTAATGTGTCCACAGTTCAGTGATTTTTGCCAACAGTCTTGTTTGTGTTGACTACATCAAAACTCAGAACTTTTCTCATCCTCTCAGAGTTCTGTTTCTGCCTACTTGCTTCCCTTGAAGATAAGTACAAACACCAGCACTGCAAGGAAAGATTTGCTTAACTTACTGAATTCTTTTTTTTTTTTTTTTATTAACTAACTTACTTCTTAATTAGCTACCTGCAAAGTAGAGTGTATATTCACATAGCAAGTCTCACTTCGAATAGCTATGGCTTAATCTATACCAAAATTTATGCCATTTTTGTCAACCAGCCTAGGAAAAAAAAATCTGATCTGGATGTTTTTCCCGTCTTAGGAGACTCTTCAAATTGATGAGGATGACCGACCAGAGCTGGTGTGGTGGAAGTGTAAGAAGTGGGCTCTGCACATTGCTGCCCGTCTCTTTGAGCGGTATTACTCCTCTTACTGTGTTAATGGCGTTACAGTTGGTATCTTGGTATTGGGTATACTAGAAGTGAGTGGCTCCCTGATGTTCTACAGAGTACGATTTTTGTTTTGTTTTGTCTTTAAAGCCATAGAGAGCAGCTGGGCTGGGCCTAAGTGACATATACGTCTATTCTAAGCTGTAGGGAAGTGGAGGGAGGAGGGTCATGGATCGAAAGTCATTCTCAGCTACTCCCAACAGTGAGTTGGAGGCCAGGGTGAGCTATAGGAGACCCTGTCTCATACAACTGAAAACCAGACCAAACCAAACCAAAAACACCCACAGGTGGCAAAGCTTTACCAGCTGTTCAAAGTAGGCTTGTGCCCACTGCCCTAGAAATCATAACAAAGTGGGTAACCATCTCTGCCTCTTTTCTACTCTGTGCAAAAAACATGGAGAACTTTTTATTTTTTTCCCCACCAGCTATATACAGAAAGTATGTAAGGTGGCGCACATGGATACTCGGCTCCATAAGAAAGTCAAATTTAATTTTAAAAGCTTTTATTGAAAAACATGTCAGGCATAATATTTTTATTCCTCCTAGGAGTTAATTGGTTTAGAAATTAGAAATTTCTGTTCAAAATGTTAACTGTGCTGCAGACCTATGAATTCCTCCTGATTCATATTGTATCTTGTGGAGAAAGAGAACATGCTAGTTTTCTGGGCCAGTGGAAGACATCTTTTAATATCTGTGTTTAAACTAGCAAGGATGCTGTGCTTTTAAACTTCACAGTACTTAGATGTTTCTTTTTCTTGAATTTTAAGGTATGGAAGCCCGGGAAATGTCACAAAAGAATACTTCGAATTTTCTGAATTTTTTTTGAAAACCTATGCAGTAGGAATCCAGCAGGTAATAAACTTAATGCTTTTAAAATAGAGGGATGGTTGTTATTGAGTGCTGCTTCTACCTGTTGCTTGCTTACATGGTAATTCGTCGCACACTCACAGATGGGGAAATGGCAGCTGTGGGAATCTGACACAGGGCAACCAGCTTGAGAACCCAGGGGCCTCTATGACCCCTAGACTTGTGAGGACACCTCAGATGATGGTGTAGACCTCTCCGTGTTCTTACCAGTTTCCAGTTTCTCTGAGCTTTCCCTTGTCTATTTGAAGATTTATGCAGTGTGAATAATCTATCCCAACAGCAGTCTAGCTTAGATATCAATGAAGACTCTCAGGTAAGAACATCCACAAGTTCTTGGAGGTTGGAGTATCCAGTCCACATAAGGAAAATGTGGAACTCAGGAGACTGTTGATGTTAATATTTAAAAACTTTAAAAATTGCAAAGGACAGTGAACTCTGATTGGTCCATCAAATATTGCCAACTGAGCCGTGATATGTTTGCTATTTATATTTTTAAAATGAGAGTTAGTAATTAGTAATTAGCTGTGCCAGGGCCTGTATAGGGAAGCTAGGACTGCTTAATCAGACATAATCCAAGGCTTCAGTGATGCAGAAGGTATTTATAGGCTTTTCATAAATCAGTAATTTGAAATTAAGTACTTAAGTAAGATGTAACAATTTCTGAAAAGTACTTTGATATGGTACCCATGAGATACTCTGTAGGGGAAGTTAATAAATAATAAGTGAAATTATCTGTCCAGATATTCAGTTGTCTCTCTGACTCTGTTCTGCCGCTGTTAAACTCCAAGAAGTGTCTTAACATTGATGCCTCTTGAAAGTGTGTTTAGAATTTTCTAGTATCATTTACACATGCATGTGTATACTTGTATTAAAAAACACATGCTGTGTCCATGTGTTTTTGCCAGAAATGTTACCCAAGACATATACTCTTGATATTGAAAATTAGTTTCCTGGCCAGAGATGTCATCTGCTGCTGTCTTCAGTCTCCTCTATTGCTGTGGTGAGGACCAGCCTGCATCGGCTCAGGGATAGAGTGGCATCCAATGGGGTCAGCGGACTAATACCTCAACTTGACTTTTCTATCTGAGGGAGTAAAACTTAACTCTCTGGGGCTGGCAAAAAAGAGAAACACACACACATGCACGCACGCACATACATACATACACAGACACACGTCTTAAACATGTCAGGATCTCACATAGGGTGCTGATGAATGGCAAGCCTTCAGCAGGTCAGAGAAACTGAAGAGGAGATGCAGAGTAGAGTGGACAGACAAACAGACACACAGGACTTTTCTAGGCCAAAGTTTCTTCATTTTATCATTCTTACTGTTGTTTGTTCTACTCTATTCCTTTTCTGTTCTGTTTTTCCACCCTGATGTTTTCCTTCTCTCTTGAAGTCTTCCTTCTAGCTTTTCTTTTACATCTTTCCTGGTGTTTTCCTTCTCTCGTGTTTTTATTTTTCCCTCTTAGAGCTTATATACATACCCCAGTAGAATCTTTCAAGCAATGTAAAAGGTACAATGTGGTTACATACTGTTTTTCAAGTGAGTGATTACAGTACAAGTAAAAAACAGCATGTTTTTTTATATCCCTTACATGTTTAAACAATTTACGTACCACAGGTGAAAAAACAAGTCATCCCAAGAAACTGCATACTTTCATGTCCAAGCAACTTGTTATAGATTAACAGAGTGTACTCAAGCAAGGTGTTCTTCTCAGCCAGTTGTTTTTGCTGGCAGGCTTCATTTTGTGGTTTCAAAGAAAGGACCAGTTATTTTATTATTTGTTTCAGAAGGCAATCTTATAAGAAACATCTTAAAGGAATCACAACTCTAAACTTTTATATATGATAAACAGTCAGTTCTACTTTAAATCCCCAGGGTGCACACCCACTTACCAGTAGTTTTTATATCAGGAAGCTGAGGGCAGAAATGGGTATAGCAAGAAAGGTACATGAGCCAGCAATAGCCAGGCTGTCTTTGTTCTTGTTTCCTGACCTCAACGAGTCCCTCGCTCAGCTATTAAAAATAATGCCTTTAAATTGTTTTCCGCCAGGCGTTGGTGGCGCACACCTTTAATCCCAGCACTCGGGAGGCAGAGGCAGGCAGATCTCTGTGAGTTCGAGACCAGCCTGGTTTACAAGAGCTATTTCCAGGACAGCCTCCAAACCCACAGAGAAACCCTGTCTTGAAAAAACAAAAAACAAAAAAACAAAACAAAACAAAGAAAATGTTTTCCAAGGGTTTTTTTTTTTTTTTTTTAACCTCAAAGCCATTAACAAAAACATCTTAGTTTAACCTTACGTTATTTTTAAAGTTTTGTTTATCGATGATGCACACTGAAACCTGTGAACACATCTCCCAACATTAAGATTTAAAGAACTTGAGTTAGCCTAGTTTCTGGGACGCAGTTGTTTTCCTTAATCATTAACCTAAGCCACAGTCTATACGGCTCCTCAAGAAAAACTAGCTGTGTGACATTTCCATGTTCTAATTTTCTGTCCTTTGTAGTCCCTGCTTTATCAGGGACAGGGGCAAGGACAGCACAATATCTTGTTTTTTACCTGTATTAGTTTTCCCACTAAGCTAACCTTTATCATAATCCCTTACTATATTTGTTAAAGACCCTCAATCATCAAAATCTTATTTAAATTAACACTATTATTATATATAATCATTGCTTCAATTAAGCAGTACAGCTTAAGAGGAAACCATCTTCATAATAATACACAGGTAAAAATGCCCAGTAGAATGGGATAGTCCCATGAGATAATCCCACTACATTTAAGGCAGTGAAGATCTCCCCAGACCCATTCAAACCATGCCAGATACCAGAGAAAAATGGCAGTGGCAAGAGACACAGCAGTAGCAAGAGACATTCTGGGACTGAGTCTCTCAGGTCCTAGCCTACCCAAGATTCACCCATCAGTGCCTTGCATGCTGGTGGGTTGATCCCCTGAAGTTAGTTGCCACCTGCTGCTCCTCTGACTTGGCCACCATACTTGTTTGAACCCCAGTAGTGTCAGGACAGCCCTGGGCAATATCATCCTCTCAGCTGCCACTGCGAGAGTTTCTAGGTGGTAGCTGGACTTCAGACCAATTTTATTAACCTAGATTTTAGGTAAGTTGGATAAAATTCATATTCTAATTTATAAATTTTGTATATGTTTTGAAAGATTTAGCAACTCACTTTAAGCTTGACACAATGAAGTGATGGGGACCAAGAAATGGGAGGCATTGTGCTGTCTCTAAAGGCCCTTGAGTCAGTCACAGCCACTTTTCAAGGTTCTTTCTTATAAACAAGAATGTAAATCAGCCCATAAGAAAAGTCCAATTTTGTCTTATGTTACAGAGGTTGTCTTCGGCCTGACATTATAAAATACACATATCCTACATTTTCTTCTAGGAACTCCATACTGTTAAAGTATTTATCTTTCTGGAGTTTATTTTGGTGTGAAGGTTAGTTGGGGATCTAGTTTAATTATTTCATAGAATAATTGGTTATATCAGCACTATTTTTATAATAATGTTTATCTTCTGATTAAGGTCTAAGTGTTGGTGCTGCTGGTACTGTGTGAACTTGTGATGCTGTGTGATTATATAGAAGTTTTGAAATGTTTATTTGCTCAGTCAGATCTGTAATTTTATTGAAAATAGGAGAAGCTAGCTGTCTTAGTCAAAGTTCTATTGTTGTGAAGAGGCAACATGACCATGGCAACTCTTATAAAGGAAAGCATTTAGTTGGGCAGGCTTACAGTTCAGAGGGTTAGTCCATTATCTTCATGGCAGGAAGCATGGTGGCATGCAGGCAGACATAGTGCTGGAGAAGTAGCTGAGAGTTCTACATCTGGATTGGTAGGCAGCAGGAAGAGATAGTGACACTGGGCCTGCCTTGAGCATCTGAAACCTCAGAGCCCACCCCCACTATCTTCTATCTTATTTCCTCCAACAAGGCCACATCTACTCCAACAAGGCCACACCTCCTAATAGTGCCACACCCGTGAGCCTGGGGGGGGGGAAGGGGGCATTTTCATTCAAACCAGCACACCAGCCATGGACTAGAACCATAGACTTATTCTGAGTAGCATATAGGTTAGAAGAACAAATGCCTAAAAGTCAGCGAGATTATCTCTTAGCTCAGTGAAACACACAGACCATCTAAAAGATGAAACATGATCTGCATGAGCTTTCTCAGCATCTCCCCCAAATCTGCTTGTGTAGATCACTGTCTCTACAGCATTGTATGTCATGTCTCAAGCACTCCTTTGCTCTTTAATGTAGTAATTGTTCTATGTTTGTCCTCCCAATCCCTCCTGTTTTCCTGTAGGTACTACTAAAAATTTTAGACCAATACAGACGGAAAGAATATATAGCCCCCCGTGTTCTTCAGCAAGCATTCAACTATCTCAACCAAGGGGTTGTCCACGCTGTGACTTGGAAGCAGCTGAAGCCACACATACAGGTCAGCGTTGGTCCCGGCTCTCTCCACCATGGTCGGTTAAGTTGGGTTTTGCTAGAGAGAGCAGGTGTTGTTCCCTCCTATGTCTTCTACTGAATCTCTGTTCCCCACTAACAATAGTTACTAACAAGTGCTGTCTTATGATGAAGGGCTTCCAACGTGTGAACATTTGAGAAGAGAGAGATTGTGAGTTGGGAGGCTTGGAGTCAGGTGTCAGTCATTTTATTTAGCCTCAGTGTCTGTTCTGCTAAGGCAGATCATGATGTTTTCTTGACCCTTGTGTGAAAACATTTTGAAAGCTGCCAGCAGTACTTTACAAAGGGAGTGTTATTTTGCAGAGGATGAAGTCTGATCGACGACGACTTTTCTTTTGTGGATATGTGCCAGAAGGCCAGTCTGCCTCCCTGCCTCCCTCCCTCCCTCTCTCTCCCTCTCTGTCTCTCTCTGTCTCTCTCTCTCTCTTTCTTGGATTCAGTTCTTTAGCATAAGTGGAAGTTTTGTTTATTTTTTTAAAAAAACTTTATTTATTATGTATACAGTTATCTGCATGCATGCTTGCACACCAGGTCTCATTACAGATGGTTGTGAGCCACCATGTGGTTGCTGGGAATTGAACTCGGGTCCTCTGGAAGAGCAGTCAGTTTAAGTGCTCTTAACCTCTGAGCCATCTCTCCAGCCCCCCGTAGTTTTGTTTTATTAAAAACAGCTTTATTTTTATTATTTTTTAAAAAGTTCTATTAAAACTTATCAATGGCTGTTTTTAATGCCAACTTTTTTTGTTGTTGTTTTAAAAGACAGAATTGTTATTTGTCATAATTAAAGAGCAAATCAGAATGGAAAATGATGGACCAATAATGTACACATTTTATTTGTACATAAATATCTGGGTAACTTAAAGACATTTAGAACTGACCCTCCACTTGCAATAAACTGTGAGTTCTTGGCGTCAAACTTTTTTTTTTTTTTCCTTTTGAGACAAGACCAGGCTGGCTTTGAACTCAGAGAGATCTACCTGTTTCTGCCACCTGAGTGCTGGGATGAACTCATGGGCCACCAAGCCAGGTTTATAATATTTTTTTTTTTTTTGGTCTTTTGAGACAGTAGCCCAGACTGACATTGAACTTCCTGTGTGGTGGGCGATGAACTTGAGCTTCTGGTCCTCTTGCCTCTATCTCCTAAGGGTTGAGACTGCAGGCATGCACCTCTGCCCCTGCCTGTCTGGTTTATGGGGTGATGAGGATTGAACTAAGGGCTTCGGGAACCTCATGCATGCTAGGCAAGTGCTCCGTCAAACTAAGCTACATTCCTAGCCCCTTGTTCTTAAATCCTGTAAGTTGGTATGTGACAAGAAAAATCAGTTGCTTTACCTTTCATGGTATCTATGATAGAGTTTAGGTAGTATTACCTTTTTTTAAACAGTGTCTTGCTGTATCGTTTGGCCTTGACCCTCACCATTTTTCTTCTTCCACTTTCTGAATGCTAGAATTATATTTACTGCCACACTCAGCTTTGGTTAGCATTATCTGAACACAAGTCTTACACATATAAGACTTTCTAAAAAATAATTTAACTTTATTATGTGCATTGATTAGTATGAGAGTGTCAGATCACCTGGAACAGGAGTTGCAGACAGTTGTGAGCTGATACGTAGGTTCTGGGAATTGAACCCAGGTCCTCTGGAAGAGCAGCCAGTGTTCTTGAACCACTGAGCCATCTCTCCAGCTCTGTGCATTAGCTTTTAAATTTGTGAATTATGGATTCTTTATAACTGTTTTCCTACTATGACCAAAAAGTGGTAATTTCTTTGCAATTAGTAAAGATTTTGTTTTCATTTTATTTACTTTGTACCTGTAAATGTAAGGCTGACATGAAATACTAAATAGCATCTTTCCCTTTGGCCTTACTTTTTTATTTAAATTCTTTAATTACTACTCATTTACATATCCATCTCCCCCATTCCCTTGCCCTCCCATCCTCCCATGTTCCCCACCAACCCTCCCACCAGGGAACTTCAAAGTCTGTCATATCATTTGGGGGAGGGCCTAAGCCCTCCTTGCTGTATCTGGGCTGCAATAGTATCCCTCCATAGAGAATGGGCTCCCAAAGTCCATTTGTGCTCTAGGGTTAAAGACTGGCTCTACTGTTGGAGGTCCCATAGACTGTCTTGGCCTCCTAGCTGGCACCCACATTCAGAAGGCTTGGTTTGGTCCAATGCTGTTTCCCCAGCTTTATGACTAGGGTCTCCATGCTCTCACTAGGTCAGGTCAACTGTTTCTGCGGGTTTCTGCAGCACCGTCTTGGCTTCTTTGCTCATCTCTCCTCCCTCTCCACAATTGAAATCCAGGAGTATGATTCAGTGCTTAGCTATAGGTTCCTGTTTCTGCTTCGAACAGCTACTGGATGAAGGCTCTAGGAATGGTAACCAAGGTACATATCAATCTCATAGGGGAAGGGCATCAATGGCATCCTCTCCACCACTGCCTGGATTCTTAGTTGGGGTCATCCCTGTGTCTCCCTCTATCAAGGCATCTCCTTTCTTGCCCTCCTCTAGTCCTCCCCTGTCTCAGGCCTCTTGATCTCCTCCCCTTCTCCCCTTCTCCCCTTCCCATCTCCTTCCTGCCCCCCCCCTCGCTCCCACTTCGTTCAGGGGTTTTTGTCCCCCTCCCCTTCTTTGAGGGACTATGCAATCTTCTCTTGGGGTC